GGCACAAAAGATAAAAGCTGAGCTTAATAAATATTGAGGTTAGACTTGTGACTCAGCTGACAGGCAGTAAAGCTGTGCAAACTTTCCTTATGAAACATCAGCAGACAATGGGAACTTTCATGTCTGAGTTTGAAAGTGAAGTTGTTCTCATGGTTTTGATGCTGAACAAACCTTATACTATACTTGGAAGCAATTTTTCTTCCTTCTCCAAATGGAAATCATTAGGGCTATTATTACTCATGAGGCAGGACCTACAGTAAGAGGTTAGCGTTTACAAAGTGTTTCCTGTTTCTTTGAATTCAAGTCCTTACATTAATCATCCCTTCGAGGTGCAAACTTGATAAACCTACTCCTTGCACTTTTCTTATTGTATCTATATACATATATAGAAAAAAATACGCATATATGTATATGCCTGTCTTCCTTATCTTAAAGCAGGACTTAAAATGTCACATGGTCTTTTTCTTTTTCTTTTTCTTTTTTTTTTTTCTCAAATGCCTTTATGGTAACTAGTTTCCACCACTGCCTCAGACATTATGTTATGGGAGAACTGTTGTCATGAATTCATTCAATATGTACATGAGTTTTCTTGTGGTTTCTTTTGCAGCTTTGTAAAAAATGATCCATCTCAACAGAATTTTTAAATGAAAGTCAAAACATTCCCCTGGTCAGTGGGGAGCCTGGGCAGGAAAGGTCATGTTCAAGTTCATTCTCCTTCCTATCCCCCATTAAAAATATGATTGTAAAAAATAATAAAAAGGCTGTGTTCAATAGCGCTTTCGTTAAGGATGGCTAACAGATCTATAACCGTTCAGCTGTTGCCAATAGCATTTTCATACTGCACCTTCCGGGGGTTACTATCTTGCTATTTAAAAATAAATAGACTGATATATAGGCAGGAACACCAAAAAAAGGTAGTATTACTGACAACTCCACTATAACTTTCAGCCTGTTAACATAAAACTCCACCACTAAATCTCTGAGGGTAAACTATGCACAGATAGAAAAGCCCCAAGGTATTAAGAGTGATTTTGATATAAATTCCAATTTTATTTTATGACCATTTTACAGCTGCTTCTAGATATCTTCTCTCATAAACTAAAAGGTACAAGGCAAATGTTACCTCTTTTTTTTTTTCCTCCTTCTTCTTTTTCTGTAGGGTTTCAGACAGTTGGTTTATTGTGACATGTTAGCAGCATTTTCTCTGCGCTGCACATTCGTAAGAATGAATTTTAATGAGACTAAGCTAGCAGAAGACCCATAAAGAAGATGCGATTATGTTTTAAGTATTCATAAAAAAGTTGCATTAAATTTACAGATTTTGATTTTTGTCTTTGACAGTCAAAAGAAATAGTCTGAGAGCATGTAAAGCAGCGTAAATCAGCATAGTTGAAATGGTTTCATTGTGTGGGCTGTGTATCCAGAAAACGCTTCTCCACGCAAATAGGAGAGTTTTGCTGGTGATGGCAGGATGGGGAAAAAAGCACTCAGGAAGCCACTGGCCAGTGCTGAGGTACAACTTCTGTTAGCCTCACTGCTGAGGGAGGTCACTCACACCCACGTGGTTATAGCATAAAACCTTAACTTGGCCACTGAAAAGGGATAGCAAGTAGGAAAATAGTAGGTAATTATAGTGTATACATACATATATTTTTTAGTACCTTATGAGGAAACTTTAGCCCTGTAAAAGAAAGGCTGCTTTAGCCATGGATGGGGGGATGCCGGCCTAAAACTTGAGTCAGTTCCTGTCACAGATGGGACCTCCATCTGCAAAGTGAGGTGACGCTTCCATACGGTAACAGAAGTCTGTGAGAATAAAAAAATCCATGAGCAATGATGACTTGTAGTGATGGGAATGTCAAATTCTATATGAATTATATGTAAGGTGTGAACAGTAGTTTCTCCAAACTAGTATTTTTATTCTTGCAAGCTAAATCTGTTAACAAAAAAAAAAAATAAATACAGTTTTCCCCCACGCTGTAACGTGCCAATTTGTTAAAACTGAAGCTTCATGGGGCACTTTGCCAAATATTGTGATGGAACCTGCAGGTTTTTTTTATTATCAACAGTGCAGTTCTTTGCCTTGGTTTTCTGTCTTGTGCACCTTTTTGTGGCAAAATTTGACCTTACTAACTTTCTGCATGTCAGAATAAGATAGAAATCTGTTGCATTAAGCAAATAAAAAAAAAACACTACTATTTAAAGGGAAAAATGAAATGTTCTTATCCTACAAGCAGTATAATCTCTGTAACTGAGGATGTGAATGCTACAAGATTTTGATTGCCATGATGTAGTTCCACTAAGCACCACTGATTACTTTTCATCTTCAGATGTTATGTAAGTCATAATTAATTGATCTATTCAACACTCTGTGCAATCAAGTCAGTAAATATTGAAAATAATTTACTAAGCGTTGAGTAAGAGTTTTGTGTAAAAGTGAGCAACATACTCAGTTATTATTGGGTTCTAGGTTTAAGGTGAGGACCCCTGATCTGCCAAGGGAGAACAATTAAGGTTCTGTTAACCTAAGGCAGCGTTACCTGTGTGATACCTATTCTCTCCTGTCATGGCTAGTAACCCTCCCTCCTAGTATCTGTGTGAACTGAAGTCCTGTCCTTTTCAACACCTCTGAAAAATGGTTTTAATTTGAATTAAACGTCTCATGCAGTTTAGATGCTTTTTCCATATTTCTTTTGAAATTCAAGTTAACTTCTAAAATGATGCGTTATCAAGAATACAAAATCAAATATTTTGCTTTTTCCTTTATTGTTTTCCTATTTGCTTATCACATGTATAAGATGAATTAAATATGCAATTTAAAAAAGTTTCAGAGGAATAGAAAATGCATTTTTTGGGGAAACAAAATATACGTTGAAAACATCTTGCCTGGCCCTTGGCTACTGATATTCATTTTCTTCCCAGCCTGCAGCAGATGGCATATGTTTGAGAAACTGTGCCCCTCTGAAGCCCTTTGGGATGAAAGGAGACCCAGTAAAAGTTATTAATCTGATCTAATTTTCATGAAGTACATCAGTGGACTATGGATCTTTTTTTGTCCAGTTTCTTCTTTGGCTGCAATTTTATTCAACTACTTAATTCTATCAGTCAATCACGATATAGAAATTCTGCCTAATATTTTTTTCTTCTTTTCACCATTTAGGCATAATAGGATTTTATTTGACATTTACTTCTGCAAAATGAAAAACACTTGGTAGGTAATTTCTATTCAAAACCCTTTTTAGATAGCCAAAAGAATTACTAATCAGTTCAGCTTATTACAAAAGTTCAGAGCTATATCATGCTGTGAACAACTTTTAGTTTCTAATGTACATTAAAGCTCTCCTTTTTGCAAATTTGAGACTGAAAGCCTAATAGCACAGAAGCACTTAATATGGCAGGGCTTCAGTTCAAACCTGTTCAGTCTTTCTGGTTCTTACTCAGAGAGTGGTAGGTGAATCCTGGTCAGTCAGTTTGTTACCTTTGAAGTTCTCGAGGAACCTTCACTGGTACCACATGGGAGCCTGCCATTTAACAGGCCTAAATACTGCAGTTTCCTGGTCAAACAAACGTGCTGTTTCCTCCATGCTAGAGGCCTTTAAAATGCCTAAAAAGATCCTTTTCTGGCTAGATAGGTATTTGTTTATGGACTGGATATACGAAGAGCAAACTGTTTGGCTTCTTGGTCTGAGAGATCTTCCTCCCTGGAGCCCCATTAGTAGTTTTTAGTATGGGATTAATTTTTCATAAGTACGAATTAGTTTGATATAATAACCGATGTTACATTTGTTACATTTATAAAAAGTTCCAGCTAGTTTTATTCTGAAAGAACTGAGAGACTTTGGAAATGGAAGTTGTCATGTCTGGGTACAAGTGTCTCTTTCGGTTTGTGCTAAAATTTAGTTGCCCTCTGCCAGTCTGAGTGCCAAGATGCAGACCTATCTCAAATATAAGCATCAGTTTTAGAAAACTGGATCTTGTATTGTGGAAACACTTGACCATAGTTTGAATTAAGGAACTTCTTGATGATGTAATTGATCTACAACTGATGTAGTTGTTCTACATCCACTGGTCTTCAAAACTATTTTGATATATTAGTTAATACTTTTCCACCAAAAACCACATTTTGCAGACACAGTGATACAGTGACGATGATAGGAATAGAGTTTTCCCCGGTAAGTAGTTGAGGTATACACTGATTATATCTCAAATATCCAAATATTTTGGAAAAGCTACTTCGATTATGGATTCCATTCCCACCTTTTACAGAAAAAATAGTCTAGAAAGTACATGATATCATAGTAAGTGATTACTGATGTGTAAATTGCTAATTTTCCACCCACTATCGAACAAGAGAAGCAGTAGAGCAATATTTATCATGACTGCAATAAAGCAAATTTAAACAAGATGTTTCCTAATGTGCTTTATCCTAAACAACAGAAGTGTGTGAAAGGGTGAAATGATTCAACACAGGAAGAGAATGTTTAGTACTTTCGCCCCAGGCTTACATGTCACTGATACCATTTAACTAAATTGATGTTATTAAACAGTGCAGACTCCTGGGGGGGATACTTGGGTTTAAAGTGTGGCTTATTTTGGTTATAGCTTTTTCTGTTTATAGTCAGTTTAAGAGAAACTGAAATCCGTTATTTGTGAATGAGGAGAAGATTGTCCACACTTGGATCTGTTTCCGTTGGTTTAACCAAGCAGGTTTATAATTTCAAGTCACTATTCAGCTAATACATGTAGATAAACCCAAAGTACTTGTCTACTGTGTTGTGGTACCTTGGGATATGAGTAGCTTCTGATCTCGCTCGTCTACCTTTCTAAGGTCCTCAGTAAATAGATGATTTCTTACTCTGCTTTTCTTTGGTAATTTCTGTCAAAACTGACATTGATGCTAGGTCATCTGGATGTACCATTGTTCCTTGGGTGCTGTAATTCACGAGGGAGCGTGAGCAAAGTACTTTGTATTTCCTCTACTGCCAACCAGAGCTGCCAACCTGGGCAGAGGAAGAGGAAGCAGCTAGACAAGCACAGAGCTGTCCTAGCTTCCTCTTCCTGATGCGTGCTACTAGTGCTTGCACCCATTGCTTATCCATTCTTTGTATTTGCTGGTTGAGTACGGTACCAGTTTTAGGGAGGCCTGTCACACAGGTTTCACCAGTTAGCCTTTATAAAGAAGATCATAAAGTCTGAATAATTTAGAGGCACAGGTCAGCCTCTTTGTGAAAGCTGGAGGCATATCAATGATTTGCTGTGTACAAATGGACTTGTTTAAACCTCTTATGTTAATTGTGTCATTTTTGTTAATTTAAAGCTGTACAGTTTACAGGCAGTGCTTCAGTTTCTGCTTCCTGAGTGACACGTAATTGCCACTTACTTCGTAGCTAGTCTTTGGGAACCATGAAGTGCTGTGTTCGCTGCTTGGCCTTTGCTGTTCTTACCACAGAAGTCTGCGGTTCATCTGTCGCTGAGAAAGATCAGAAACAAACCTCTCCGTGTATGAACGATATACACTATTGCTAGAAAAAACAACCCAAATCGTTTTTAAAAATGAAGCCCAATCTGAGGATCTAATTACGTAATACCGAATCCTTGGCAGCAAATTTGGCATTTTCACGTTTCTTAACCAGTGCCTTATGCTGCCTCCAGCTCAGGGGATGGTCTGGAAGAAGCTGCAGTGAAGGGGAAACCTTTCTCCGGCGTAGCTCTCTGGAAAGCAGGACCTCAGGTACCACTTCATGGCTCTTACGTGATTTCCCTTCCATTCTGGGACCCCGCGCGTCAAATACAGCCTCTTGGTGGGACTTTCAGGTGCACAAGGTCCCACCACGAGGAGAGCCAGGAGGCTGCAGGGCCCAGGTTGTTAATGCGGAGCAAGCGCTTCCGTCCCGTGTCACGCGTCCCCTCCTGATACCGAACGCGGAGACGGCTCGGCGCCGCGGCGGCGCTTGGCCCGTGGGGCCCCGTTTCTTGGGGAGCGATTGTGACGGCGGCGCCTCCCTTGTGAAGCGCAGGCAGGCCAGGCCTCTGCAGGTGGAAGGCAGTACGCGAGCTGAGTGAGAAGTGCGCGCCGTACGCGGCGGCGTGGGGTAACTGCCGTGTCTTTGCAGAGGAGCTTTGAGCTTTTAAAACGTTGCCGTGAAATTATGGTAAAAGAAGGGCGCGTGAAGACTGCGCGGTGGCTGGAAGATAAAAGAGAAAACTAGCAGTGAGATCAGAAAGTTGTTACTGTTATCTATGAAAAATGAATGCTTCTTTTTCCCCTCACCTCCCCCCCCCCGTATTTTTCCTAGTAGGGTCTTTTTTATTCAACCCCCAGCCCCACTGCAGCCTGTCTCAGGTAACTTCTGGTTTTCAGTAACAGGAAACGCTGATCTTTTGATAATAGCTGTGAAGTATTTTATTGTAACAACAGACTAATGTAGTGATAAGGAATTTTTTTTTTGTTTTGAGGGAAAAAACGCTTTTTTATCGGAGCAAAAGAAGAAAGGTGATTGAGGAAAAAAAAGCCATATATAACGTATTAACATCCAGAAAGAGGCATAAGTTAGTGATGATTTATCCAAAGATATTAAGAACTAGGTCACAAATGTTTTATACTGTACATAGAGGCAAAATATCAAGTCAAACACTACCATTGTAGCCAAACGCACATTCTTAATGCATATTCACAGCTTTAGTTACAAGACTGCCTTGCTAGTGCACAGTTACAACGCCAGCACAAAGCTGGGCTTTCGTATCGCTGTTTTGTTCATATTATCATATCCAAAGAATTATCCGGATGCCTATTTGTCCTTTCTTATCTCTGCTGCTCTCTAACTTGACTACAGCAAACAAAATTTGACCTTTCTTGCTATGTTATAGTGAATGAAACTGTGATATTTTTGTTATTATTTAGCTCCATCCTCATTTCAAGATCAACCTAGACCCTAGTTTGGGAGTGAGTGGGGGAATGCTGTCAGTACCTGATAGCACTGAAGTATAAATTTCATTATCAAATTAATATAGTTAAGGAGTCATGCACAGATTATGTTTAATAATGCTCAATCTAAGCATGCATAATGGTTTTTGAGAAACAATGTGAATTCATTGGTAGTCCTCAGATCTGATTTTTTTAAATAATATTTATATAATGTACACAATATGAAAATTGGGCTTGTCCCCTAAAGTAAATCTTTCAAGACAAGTCTGTCTGCATGATTCCTGGTAGACTGTTGGACTAATACCATGATTTTGAAACAAGGCAAATTTAAATTGTTTCTCCATTTGTATTTTCAATGTTTTCTGTTTCCATAATTTGTACAAATATAATAATCCGATTTATTAAAAAATAGACAGAAAAAAAGCAAAGTCCAGTGGTCCATAATCCTGTTCTGGCAGGGAGATTAATAAGAGGTGATTTTTAGTTTAGTTTTATTATTCTGTTGTTAACTTTCGCATAATAACCTGTTTCATTTTACAGGATCATTCCTTAACACTGATACTATACTTCAGTCACTCAGATTACAAATAATTCGAAAATTGTGAGTGTTATAGTTAAAAAAAACAAAAACAAAAACAAAACTTCCTTATGGATCTATAGCACCACACTAGATAAAACTAAAACTGCTCTCTAGTTCTTGTTTTGCTGTTGCTTCTTGTTGCTATATTTGCAGTGAATTAGCTTTCCAAAGTTGAGTGTCTACAGCTGTCATTGTACTGTGCTGAAGGATACCCCACTGGCCTATTTTTACAAACCAGTACCGTACCTTGCACCTTTATACAATGAATGTTCTCAGAAAGATTCATATTGCTATACTGTACCAGATGTGTGTGCAGTACCGTGTGATAGTAGAAAAATGTGATTAGTTCATTAATATGGATGAACTAAATATTCGTTAACATTAAAGTCCCTTATGGTCACACTTCAAACTAACTGTGTAGTTATCAGTACTTACGGATACAGATAATGGTAATTCAAGCTATTATTTTCACCCAACAGGACAGTAGGAAATATAAGAACAACATTTAACATTGGGTAAGTTTATAGATATTAACTGAATCATGCAGGAAGAAATCAATTCATAGATACCAGGGAATTCATTAATACCAGGGAAATAACGTATTTGCTTCACACTGTTTGAGAGTAAAAATAGTGCAAGTTAAAAAAAAAAAAAATTAAACTGGTCTGTGATTTTGTTGTTGTTTGTTTGCTAAAATAATATGTTGAGGTAAGGTTTTCAGCTGTTAGAATGTGGGCTGGAGGACTTGAGCCATTCACATCTTCTAAGAGTCCATCCCATAAGGTCTTAATGAGATGCATTACAGTAAGAGCACACGTCAAAGACTGGTAGCAATCATGTGCAGAACTGAAATAAATATATTGCACTTAACCTTGACAGAAGAACCATTCCTGACTTTCAGTATGGATAATAAATATTGTAGTTAAGATTAGTGAAACTTACAAGGAAAAATAACTTGTTTGATGAAGTGAAGATATTCATTGAAGAATGAAGAATGAACTTTTGAATATGTTTTAGTTATAAATGAATTAACTGCTTCACATAAAAGTGGAGTATCACATACAGTATCCTTAGAGACAACTTTTAGTAGTTAATTCTGATACAATCGGTGAGATAAAAACTGAAGTCATGAGGTGAGAGCTTCATGGCGCTAGGTACTGGTAGTAGGATGAAGCGGGATCGCCTGTGTCTATAGTGTATTTCTTCCAAGGTAGCACTAAGATACTTAGTAAGACAAAGCAAGGAAGCTTAAACTGCTGCTCATTGCTCTGTTGTTGACTCTCCTGCACTATTTTAAAAAGGTATTTATTCCAACAAATTGGTGAATTTACCAGTTCAGTGTTAACTGAAAACCAAATAACCGATCTTACTCCCTCTTACTACTCCCTGGGAAAACACAGGTATGAAAATGATCCAAAAATACGTCACGCAAACAAAAAGCGTGGGAGATGTGAAGGAATTGGCCTTTTCCAGTTTGTTTTGTTATTTGTTTATTGTTGGGGTAGAGATTTATTTTGTGAATAAATAATAAATATTTATTTCTTTTTGGATTTCTTGAGTAAACTACAGTGAGATTTACTAGAATGCCTAGAAACAGTGTTGGTCCACAGCCAGCTTAATTTGCACATATGTTCTCAGTAAAGGACAACAGGTAGCTTTGCCCAGTTCTCCCTCTGCCTCTTACCTCCTTTAGTGGTGTAATTAAAATGGTTGCTTCTCATCTTTAAAGCTTCTGAGGCCTAAAGAGTGGTAGTGAATAATGAAATAAAATATATGAGGTCTCCTTTATGAGGCTGTAAATCGCTTGCTTACGTTTAGTGGCAACTCTTTTTTTTCTGTTGAGTGAAGAAAGAATACTGGAGAGGCAAGAGCAGTGGGAAGAAAAAAAGAGGAGTTTATGCTACCTTGTCCTAGCATCTTGTCAAGAAAAGATCCTTATATTTTTCCTGTTCAGATTAGAAAATTATGAACCCTATTTTTAATCCCCAGTTCACAGCAGCAGAACACCAGGTAGTTATTTCTAGCATCTGTTTGTCATAAAGTAGGGTATACCCTAAAGAGACACTCTTCATAAACACTGAACACCAGAAATACTGTTCGTATTAAATTGGACCACATGAATAATACAGAAGTCGTGAATTTAAATTATTACTGGCATTTGGAGAAAATGGCAGTATTTCAGCCATTAAATAACAACTTTGCTTTATTTCTGGAAACAGAAAGTTATTAAGTTGTAAATCATATTGGTGCTGTGGCTCAGATGTGTTTCTGGTTCTCAGAAGTAGTCTGTTGCATTACATTTGTTGCCTCGAAAGTCTTAAGCCCAATTCTGTGAGATACTGCGGTACAGCCACACGATAGCGGCATTATTTTGGCCTATCAGCTCTGGATACCACAGTGTGTGCAATCAAAGAGGCATGGAGTTTTTGAGGCAGATTTATAATCCATGCTATGTTCCTTGCTGCTGCAGTCCCATAACTGGTGGTGTCACCAGCTATTTTAAAGTTAACTTGGGTACAATACATTACCGTTGCTGAGGGAACTTCTTCTCTTGCCCTTTGAATTCTGCCTCTTTCTATGTATTTAATACAGTAGGAGTAAAGCTATAGCAGAAGATGAGCTACATACGTAGGTAACTATTTTTGTAGCCTGCAGTCCTCATGATCTCCCCTTCCTATTCCTGCTTTCCCTTCATCCCTCGGCCTGTGTTCTCCTTTGTCGAACAAAGTGGAGGCGAGTTGGAAAAATAAGTGTTGAAGCAATGTTCTACGAGTGCCTGCTTGCTCGTGGTGTTTGTGAGGGCTCATGTCAGAAGGCAGAGGAGGAAGGAGGGATTTCACTCAGTAGTTTTAGTACAGAGAATTTGAGATTCCCTTCTCTGCCTTAGCAGAGATGTACTGAATGGTCTAGAGCAAATCATTTCCTTTCCTCCTTTGTAAAGTGTGGATGCTATATTTGCAGAAGCATCAGATAGTAAATATAATAAGGACTGTGAGAGACACTGTCAGTTTGGTAAAAGAAGTCTCTGCAGTTCAGTCTCTCCAAGGTTGTAGGAAAATAAATTGGATTTAGGGACCATAAGATTAGATGAAAGGGGTTTCTTTGGATTTTCTCCTAGGTGGCTTATTGTTGCTTCAGCTGTTACTTCAAAAGGGTGAACTCAGGAGGACATGAAAGGATATGGCTAGTGGAATCACTTGCGCTGAAGAACTCAAAGAACTCAGGTAGGAACTTCAAATTTATTTTCATCAGAGGTAGAAAAGCTATCGGAAACTGGAATACTAAGCAAGGGGAGATGCCAATATAGACGGGAATGACAAAAATGAACTCCAAGAGGAGAGCACCTTCCGAGAATGAAAAAAGCACTGAGTATCACAGAAAGCTAGCTGCATACTACAGCTCAGGCAGTGTGCAGATAAAATAAGACCTGATAAAAGTTAAGCTGACTTAGACCATGTAAAAGAAGCTAAAGCAAATAGCAAAAGGTTTTTCAGCTACGTACATAAAAAGAGAAGAAAGAAGAGAAGAAAAGCCTACTATGGTGTAGGATCGGGTAAGATAAAAGCTAAAAAGTCACAAATAAATAACATACCTCAATTTCTGTAAGGATGATTAGGCTGAGTGTGGGGTCAAAGACAGGAAAGAAAAAGGAAGAGAGGGAATGTGAGCTGAAATGCAGAATATTTTACAATAGGAATATGATGTCCTTGAAGTAATAAAAATAAAATGAGATTCAGTAGTACAAACTGCCAGGTCTTTTTTTTTTGTTGTTTTTGAAGGACTAAAAACATTGATTTCTGTTATAAAATATAAACTGCTCTTTTTGGTGGAAGCAGAGATGAAAAACTTGGGTGGAGCAGGTGGTCGTAGAACATTTATGAGCCACCACTGTGATGTGCCTGTAAAAGAAGAAAATATAAATTGAAGCTGTAAAGGAAGCAGTTATTTCCATAAAGATAGGACAGTTTTCACAAGGTGCATTGTATTAGACACTCACCTATAATACTGCACACAGTTCTCATCATCCGTGCTCCAGGAACATAAACGCAAACTGGAGCAGGTGAAGAGAAGTGCTACGAAGAGGAGTAAGGCTTTAGAGAACCTGTCCAAGAAGAGGAGATTAGAAGAGATCTATCTTTTCAGTCTTAGCAAGTCTAGTGTTGTTCTGATAAGAGTAGCATTAAAATAACTTCTGTAGCAATGATGTTTCTTATTATGCAGGCTGAAACTCTGGCATCGTTGAAATCATTGGTTTTCGTTTGTTTGTTTTTAAAAACTAACATCTCATTAGCTAATGAGCCATGATTTTTCTGTATACGTTACTTCCCTATTTAAAGCCACAGGGATTTTTCCCACAGAAATATGCATATTCCAATCTGTTAGGACCACCAGTGCTCCACAAATCAAGAAAGAGTTGGTCTTTTCTGCTACGAAGAGGTGTGGTTTTATTTCAGGAAAGCAATTCTTTTCACTATCCTAAGATCATTTGCCCTTTACCTCCTCCTTCCTTCACACATACCTGGAATTCTCCTGCCTTTTAAAGCATTAAGGTTGAAAATTAATTACTTTTTTAAGCTCTAATATATCCTTCACTCCATCACATAGATTTGTATGATTTGCGTGTTTGAAAGATGGGATGCACCTGAAGAAAATGTCATAGTTGTGCTAGGGTATGAAGTGGAAGATAAAATGGAAACATAATTCTTCCTGCTAATTAAATCAAAGCAATGGCAAGGTAACCACACTTTAGATTAGGTTACTTCTCAGAAAATCAAATTAAAGACAAGTTAGAGTCCTTTACATTGTGGAACACTGAAAATATTATTCAAGTCCTATATCTGTAGCTTTCTTGTGCCATTTTTCAATTAGTCTCTTCACAAGAATAAACCTTTTAATAAACATATACAATAATACCAGTCACTGAGAGTAACTACTCTAAGTAAAGCAGCTTTTTTTTATGGTAACCAGTATAAAGTGACAGTTTTAATTATGTGAAGTCTCTAATGTCTTAATGATTTTAGCCCATTCTGTTCTTTGTACATGAAAGCTAGCTTCATATTATTACTGTTTCCAAAGTTACAAGGAGATATTATTGGGCTTTAAATGTTTATTGTCATCTTAGCAAAGTGGCTTTTATTTTTTGTTTATATTCTAAAAACTTGGCAGAGTAGTGGCAATCCACACACTAATGGCTAATCTGGGTTTGTGCCAAATGAACAGTAATAGCTACAAGCACAGAAAAACCACTTGAAGAGTAAATGCCAAATTAATCCCTGATGCAACTCTTTTGCCTTAGTGGAGTTACACCAGGGAATACGTTTTCAGTGTGCATCCTGTTATAATCCATTATCTTTAAGGGAGCTCTGATATAACAGGACAGTCAAGTTCAGCAGTTTTCTTTCTGTCCTAAAGAATCTCAGATCACACTGCTGTTTGTGGCCTATATGCACCACTACTCAAAATAGCTAAAAACACTCAATCTCGCACTGAGAAGTCTAAATGAATTATACCTTTAGATCTTAGTTGGAATTTAGCATGTTGTAACTTCATCTCTTGGATGCCATAAAACCCTAAAGTGATAGGTAAGTCCTATTGAAGTCAAAATAGTTCTAAGTTTGATAAATGATAACTTTTTGTTATTTTTTTGTCTTTGTTCAATACTGAATCCTACAGTTTTGATACAGGCTTTTTTTCTGTTTTTTTTTTTTTTTCAATTTGTTATTGCCACCAAATAGAATTGTTTTCTTGGGGAGACTGGATAAGGTCGTTTATACTTGTTATATGCTAAGTCCTGTTCTATAGAGGACAGCAGTGCGCTCTTGCTCCTACTGCAGGGTTTTAAATATGTTATACTCTAACTGTGCCAAAAGGTAGAAGAACGGGGAGGGAACATTCTCCATACAAGGGGAAAAAATTGAGATGACGTTCTCCCTTAACAGTGGTCTACAGAAAAAGATGATTGCTACAAGCTGAGGCACCACCTTAGTAATCTGTCGTTATTAATCTTCATTTGGTTTAACCAGGAGAGCGAGGCACAATGCCTTAGTGAATTAAAATGGACCACAGTAGATAGTACTCTCAACTTCCTCCTTTCCTTCTTGTCAGCCAAGCACACTCCTTCTATATTCAGAAGTGTCATTTTTCAATGTTCTGGTCTGATGTACTATCAGGGTATAGTACAAGAAACTCCCTTGGTTCTCCTGTATCCACATGGGCTTTGCCCAGTGGCAACTGTTATGAATAAGAATTGAATAGCCAAGTCTTAGTTCTGTTATTACTGCTTGTGGACATAGTGCTTCCTTACTCACATGAAAAGCTTGTTAGAGCTCTAGTAATCTCTTCTTTTTCCTCTGTGTTCTTAGTTTTTATAATTTCATCAACAGTGCTATCATTTCTAAACATGGGTGCCAGAAAACTCTAGTAACTGGCCAAATGTATGGATATACACATTCATTGTTTCCGTTTTCAGTCCGTCTCTGCTACTGCTTACTGCTGTCAAGCCTATACTTTATCTACCAAAAGTTATCCAGTCATAGCCTAGTCCTAGTCCATCAAAATCCTGGCCACAATCTTGTCTGGGTTTGCCATCGTTCCTGTTTTGTTTAGTTCGATTTTTATCAAGGCATTGCTGCTGTTACTTTAGAATTTTTGTGATCTCCCTGTATTCATTGAAGATCATGATATCATTTATGTCTTCAGCTGCATATTCCTTGTGGGCTGATGAGCAGTTCAGCTGATTAATGCTGGATTTTCCCTGTGTGAGTGAACGGCACTTTTTTCCTGAATTCAGAGCCCTCACAGTGTGCAAAGGATTTCTCTGGAGGTATTTACCAATACCATATTGTTCAAATGCCATTATAAACTCAGATTTCCACAGTTGTTCTAATAATTCATCTATTCTATATATGGAGTCTATACCTCTTGGGGAATGAGATCACATTTATTCTCTGAAAATCTTTATGACCTAGTGACCTGTCTTGTTTAGAAACCATCACCATGATTTTCCTGCAAGGCATTTACTAAGAACATTCAAGAGCTCAATATGGTAGAAGAATGCAAATCATTTTTCATTTGCTATAGACATCATAAAAATATATCCTGGATATTTCCAATTTAACTTTCTGGTTAGGTGTTTCATTGTGCTGCCTTGCTAGCAGTGATATTCTTGGTTTCTTATCTTTCAAGATTTCTCACATCTTTCACTGCTTAAGCATGTTCGTATTTTAAATATAGGGCTTTTGTGCCTCTGCAGGCTGGTTGAAGATTGTAGTCTAGATAGTCTATGAAGCCTGGCAGAGACTCATTGTGTCCCATTTGTTCCACCAGCCACCCTGTGGTTCGTGAGTGTGAGCATGGCAGAAATTGATTGTAACCCTTTGGTTGTGTGCTGTGTACTTTTTATGTCCTATGAAATTGTTACATTAGCCTGTCTGGGCTTCTTCATCCAGAATTCAGTCACTCATTGACCTAGTAAGCGTCCATGCGCCTGAGGGCTCTTCAGAGTCTGAATGCTTTGTGCTGCTATCTCCTCCTTGATAGAGTATTTGCATTGGCTCACACTCTGCTTTCTTTTGGGCACTTACTGCTTTGAACTTTTTCTACCCTCTTGCTCTGTCATCTCAAGCATAACTAAGAATTGATCCAGACTCATTAATTCCATCCTTCTTGCAGTGATGCAAGAAACCATGAGAGAAAGCAGTTTTTCTAAAACATCCTTAATTTGTGGTTTCTAACTCTATCCTATTGGTTTAGAAAGGAAGGTAAAAAAAAAAAATTGCCTTCCTACATGTCATTCTCAACAGAAAACTAGAATGTTGTCCAAATGAAATTGCTATTGGGTAGGTCAGTTGATTTTTAACTGTTAGAAAAATCATATGCAGAATGGTTATCAAGTGTTTTGTATAAAGCCATAAATTCAGAAAAAGTGAAGCTCCAAAGATCATCTATCTGAAGGTACGAATGAGAAAATGGCATCTGTCTAGCATCCGAATGAGAGGAGGGTAAGCAAGCATACTACTACATTGTCAAATGAAGTGCAACTGAAAAGGTTGCAATATTGAGAGCTGGGATGAAATTCAGAACGTTCTTCATACTTTGAAGAGAACATCCAGGAGAAATCATCTAGGCCAGGAGATAAAAAATAGTGCTAAGTGGTATGCTTTGGGAAATAAATAAATAAATGAAATGAGCACAAATACAAAATGGAGCATATTTGACAATGCCACAAAACTTCAGATATCTAATCTGGCTTTTGTAGATTCCAAATTGTATTAGCAAATGCTAGAATGTTGTTGCCAAAAAAAAGAAAAAAAAAATCCCAAACATGATTAGGGATTTAGAAACAAGAATATTGTGTAAGGTCCTTGGGGTAACTGCTCCTCTCTGCTCCCAAGTGGTCATGAGGCATGAGTAAAACTAATTCTGTTCTCCTTTGAGTGCTACTCTTTAAGAAAAATAGTGAGATTCTGGAGGAGAATGGCAAAGGCGAGGAGATGTTTGAAATGATGAGTCACAGTTCTAAATCCATCGAGTTCAAACGAGACCTGAATTAGGCAATGCAAGTTGATACATTTCAAGTTTGAATACAGCCATACATGAGCTTACACACCTAAGTGTGGTGAAATTCTCCACTACATGGGTATTGGATTCAAGATAGCAACAGTAGTTGAGAGGTAAACTGATGGGCTTTCATCTGTTTCTTTCTCCTTATGACTGAATAAAGCAATGTCTCATCAAAGGTATAAAGTTAGACTCTGTCTGTTGAGGATGTTAATAAAAAAGCCTGCATATCCTTTGCAGACCTGTATATATTTTGCTGAACAATTAAGGAAGCTTGAAAGTGTCAGTTTTCCTGGCTTTTATAATTGGAAGAACAGTTGCATAATATGTACATTGAATAGCACCATAAATAATTTTCAGAACTACTGGTCTGTTTCCTCTTAGAGAATAATTTTCTTGGGCTAATTATCAGTAGCCACATAATTAATTCCTCAGAAAAAATTAATCAAAGCATATGCAGTAATACTGAACTGATAAAATCTTCTCTTTAAACAATGCTTTTTATGTAACACTTGGCACCTGAAGTAATCTTAATGCATTAATATTCATATAAAGCTGAACGTCAAACCCAATGAAATGTTTGTAGTCTTTCCACTGATTTCAATGAGTTGTGGAGAAGGCAAAAAAGGTGAAAGGTGGTGTTCCATGTTACAACCAGATAAATGAACTAGGCCATGGCGGTTTCATAGTTTTTGTGGTGGTTGGTTGTTCCTCCCTCATCTGTGCAGAGATCACTAGTGATCTCTGTATGTTTGCAGGTTTATTAATGCTGCCCGGGTGTGGTCAAATTGAATTTGCAATAGAAGGAAGATGTCTTTTTAGGCTGAAGTTTCTATGATCCTGAAAAGCGAATATTCTTTTTTGAACATCCTACCCTGGCCCATCTACAATAGACTCGCAGCAGTTTTCCAACTCCTGGATCTGTCTCGAGCTATTTGCTTTGTAATTCTTCATAGTTCTAGAGTCATAACCTCTGATTTTTTTTCGTTTCTTCTTTTCTTTTTAATACAGTTTATCATCGATTCTTTTTTTTTAATTTCTTTTTGTAAATTATTTCTGTACCACAGTCTGTAACCCTGCTCTCCGTCACTTCAGGTCTCTCATATAACCTTAATATTCTTTCATGCTATGTTCTCAAAAGTTAGCCGTATTTGGTGTAGGCTTGACCGCAGTTGCTGACATTATATTTCCCTTTCAGGTTAAATTACTTTTGAAAAGTTTTTTTGTCATTGTGCATCACTTTTTTATTATTATTTTCTTATTCTCTTTGTTGTATTTAGATTTGAGGATCATACAGGAATTTAGAAGTGCACTTACTATTCAGGGGTAGTTGTCGTCTCCTCTGTGACAGCATGCGAAGACTGCCACAGCTCTGCATGTAAAGTGCTTCAATTCACTGCCTTGTTCCTCCTCAGCAATTCTTCTTGCTTTTTGCTCTTGACTGATGATGTGGAGCCTGTATAGGAAATGCTTCTTTCCACTGCATCTTCTGCCAGCTATTTTTAGTTTACTAATCACTTACATCTGGGGAAAAGTGAGTGACCATCTTTGATGTGGTTGACTGCCTGCCTTCTTTTTGGTGGTAGTGTGATAATGGGTAACACTGCAGAGGTTTGGAGAACAGGACTTAGGAACATCCCATTCTTTTTTGGGGCGATGAAGCTGTGAGCTAGCCAATCTACCAGCTTCCTGGCTGTCATACACAGACCTCACTTTTACTAGAACTTTTTGTAATCTGGTGAAATGAGACAAGTCTTTTTAGTGATTGTGTAGATGTTTTAATTCACCTTGAATCATCACTACATCATGGATTTTCAGGCCATCTCGTTTCCATCTGCTAGAGAAAAGCTAGAAGTCAATATATCTCTGCTCTCTTTTTGGTTGTTGAAAACACACATAAAATGGAAAAAACGGCCACTGCCATAACCTTCAGTTGTTGCCGTGCCCACGCGTGATAGCTTTGGTAACTGACAAAGAGTTCTGAGATCTTGTGAGGGTGCTCAGAGTAAAGCAATAGCAGTACTGTTTGGTCCTCACTATTTCACTTCTCCTGGATGAACCATAGCCTACAGATTTTTTTTTTTTTTAACCCCTCAGTAAAATGTAGAAAATTGTATTTATCCATTTAGGAACCTGTGTAGGAGAAATGAGGCCTTGCCTACTGAGAAATGGTTGGTTTCCAGCCAGAAATAAACTGGGACCATCCTATAATCCTAAACTGCAGGCACTTGATGAGGCACTCTAAACCTGGATTGAAGGTAAGGTTGTTGAAGTGAACTGGGGTGGCTCAGCACCCAGGTTAGTTGTACCATTGAGGTTCACCCCAAACACTGTGGACTATCCATTTTTTACTACAGTTTTTCCTCTCTCTCCCATCTTACTGTTGTGTGTGTGGGCCTAACTAATATAAAGAAGACTTGCTATGATTCTAAAAGGAAAAAACAGGGCTCAGCTGAAAAGCACAATTACGTTTTCTTGTGATGATTTCTTATTTGCCACAAAGTATTCCTGCAAGTTGGGCAGGATTTTTTTTTTTTAATCAGAGAACATTTTGGGAAAGAAGAAGGGGAAGAGCACTGTGGCTAAGATGTTAGTTCTTATGATAGCAACAAGTCCGCTAGGTAGCTTTATTTTTAGAGGTTCCCACACAGTTTAACAGTGCAGAAAAAGATAAATAGAAAATGAATTATGATAGGATTTTTCTTTTATCATTTTAATAAATTTCTCTAGGGTGCATCAGTAATCCATTCGATGACTACTTCTCCCATCCTCTCATCCCTTCAAATCCATGTATTCTGTACTGACTGGGATAACATATGAAGAGTGATACTACAAAGAGACACAGAAATATGTAGTGATCCCTATACCTTCCCTGAATATGTTAAAATAGTCAACAAAAACATGGTAATTTCAACTCCAGTTCATTTGATCTAATATTAAATTAGCTGCTCTTGGGGTATCCTCTTTTTAATCAGAACACATTTGTATGCTCATAGTTTTCTTTGGGGAATTGAACAGAACTGCTATAAGTAGAGATGAGATGCTTCTCCCTCCCTCCCCCAGATCATTTTGACCTTGTGATATTTTGAGCATCAAAGGGATGAAACGTACTTTGCTTTTTACAAGCAAGACCATCTTTTTGATATGAGCTTTCCAGTATGGGAAGCAAAACTCTATTATTTCTTCAAAATCCGCTTGGTCAGGTGTATTAGAACCAGAATCAGTTTAAGCTTTTCGTTTGGAAAGATGATACATAAAACTCTTGGAAAGAGGTAAACTTAATTAGAGAACAATTTATTTTGAGAAAAGGGGTGGTGAGGTGGTATAAGGGAAAAAATAGCGGTGAGGTGAATATAGTTGGGACAGTTTTTCTTTTAATTGAACAGTGAAGTTTATATGCTTGTAAAATGTAGATGGTAAATTTTATTGGTCTTGCGTGAAACCCCGGTAGAAGCAAAGAGACCCTGGAAAAGAACAAAGATCTATTAGTGTCATCTTGTAAGACCAAAACCTTTTTGCTAGTGGTGTTTGCTGATGTGCTCCAGTGATTTAATTTATTGTGTGGGGTCTAGAAAAGAAAAAAAAAAGTGTTATAGACCTCTTTATTTAAAAAGCAAACAAACAAAAAAACCCCAAAACCACATACTGAGGGGGGGGGAAAAAAAAAAAAGCCCCTTGAGTCCATTAACTTCATCACATGCAATTCTGAAAGAAACAGCTTTGGATTAGCTGGCAATTGAAAATCCCATAGGAACGGAATAGCTCATATGCATACTACCCAGGAGAAAACAAAATTGTCACATATTTTGCTTAAGGTGTGGGAGGAAAAATCAAATCAAATAGCATTTTACAAGTGCATGTAATAACTTGAATTTAAAACAAGATATGTATTATTCAAGTAATTCTAAGCATGGTGTAGTAAATTTTTCATGAAGGTTAAGAAAAAAACTGACAGAAATATCATTTAAACTGAGTGTTTTTGATGCTGAACTTGAAAGTGGGGGATTTAATAGAACTTTTTTTAATGCGACGAGACTCAGATAACATCATATTTGGCAAAGTGCTTTATTGGTTTTTGGATTAGGGTTTTTTCATAAATTTTTCTCTTCAAACTAATAAAATTCATGTAGCTGTCAGTTTGGATTTGATCCCCATTTTGTTTTGCCTCAACAGTGTAATCTCTATCAGTCTAACTTATTTTTATGCTGCATTTACAGGGTATAAAGATGACAAATCACTCAAGTCTCAATGCTGGTATTTTATCAAAAGCTGGAATGAATATCAAGGCTGAGGACAACAGAGAAAGATGAGACTCAGAGCAGCAGCAGTTGTATGGCAACACAAGCTGGACAGATTCTTCCATTTTACTCCTCTGCTTAACCCTTTATGTTAACAGTCTCATACAAGTCTGCTTTGCACAGGTAAGGTACAACGTTATTCGTTCTGAGTAAAGGTATAGAAGAATCTGTGGGGAGGATGGATAGTGGTATACTCTTTATGGAACTGTGAGATTTTTGCTTTAATCCTAGCCTTGCTCCTGACTATGAGTGTCATTTCTGATGCAGTCTCTGCACCGTCTTTTGATGTTGGCTTCCTTCCTGGCCAATGACTGCTGGGATAAAAGTAAACAAACCAGAAAAAAAGAGCTTGAGATACATTAGAAATGACCACATCTATATTACCTGAATCAGTAGCAGGTAAACTCTATATTTTTTTTACATATATTCTAGACTCTTTAGAGAAGGGGCTCTTTTTTCATCATGTTTTCTTACAGCCTGTGGCAGAATGAGGTCCAGATCTCAGGTGAGACATCTAGGTGCCACTGTAGAATGCCATAGTAATAAGAATTGAACTCTGGTAGTTTGAGAAATGTAAGCTTACTTCATAGGAATTTCTCTACTCTTTTTTTCTTTCTTTCTTTTTTTTTTTTTAAAGCAAATTTTACCTCAACTTTCAGATTGTGTACCCTTTTATTTCTGTCATGTCAGATGATGTTGAGAAGACAGAAATCCCTTGAGCATCTTTTTTTTTTTTTTTGACTAGACAAAATATTTTTGGGGAAGACATTGCAGAGAAGCATTTTTCATTTACAGTTCTCAGTCCCTAACTTGTGATGACTCACAAGCAGGCAGGAATGTTAGCAGTGAATTTATCCTCTGAGGTTCCATCTGATATGGCATTTGAGATGATTAGAGAAAGAAGAGGAGGGATTAATGTGAAATATCAGGCACAGGAACGTCTTGTGCCAAAGTTGAGGATCAAATATCAACCTTTGGAAAGGAATTGCAAACTGAGAGTCAGAATCATGATGGTATAAATGAGAAGGTTCAAAGGCCAAATATTTATCTGTTGCTTTAGTAAAGGAGACCCTGGACTTTTGGAGGAAAAGGGAAGTGACAGATAATCAAATCAAAATACAGAATTTAAGGTTGCTTAGCATGCAGGTGAAGGGCAGGATAAAATTGAATGTAGGGACATGATGTAGGGGGTAGTTTGAACTTTGCATTTGAGCTGCTATTGATGAGGCATAAAGTTCTACTGTGTTCCTTGAAAGCTCTCTCCTGCTGTTACATTTGACAATGATTTTAGTGAAGTATTTAGTGTACCTCCTGTCTTATGCAGGAGGCAATGAAGAAGTACTAATATAAATGAAAAGTATAGGATAAAAAAATCACTATTATTGCATAAAGAAGAAGTATATATCATACTAGCATAAACTCTTCTAGAGAAGTACAATCTGAATCTTAAGAGAAGAACAGTTTCTCACCAGCAGAGGCAGTTCTTGGGGGTTTTTTTATTGTTATAATTGTTGAAAGTGAAAGTTTGGCTTCTTGCTGATGTAAGTCTTTCTTTAGATTTTCTGTTTAAATAGTCAGATATAGCTCTTTCTTTACAGATTCCTCTGAAGGAATACGATTATAGCCTCTTCTCAACCATATCCATTGTCAGTAAATTCTTGTATATTGTACTATCTTGTTAGAGACTATGTAAGTTTTTGTTAGTCCTGAATTTTTTCCAGTATTTGTTTATGTAAGGTTTATAGTAGTACCATGCTAAAGATTCCTTACAACACTACTTCACTAAAGGTGTCTTGTACTAAACAAGTCCTTTTTTCTGTTTATTTTTGACAGAAAAATATTTTTTTCTGTCCATTATAGACATATCTGTGCCTGAAACCAAAGCAGAAGCAGATAATACTAACTGCTGAATGTGTATAAAACTGGAGCTCCATTTCTATAGATTTTATGCAAGCACACTCTAAAATATCCCTTTTGCTATGGAGATCCCAGTAAAACTGGGCATCAGACAGCAGCGCACTGCTTATGCAGTGTTTTCATTAAAAACCAACAGTGCTTCAACCTAAAATTATCTCTGTTACCTGAGGTATTTTTGACATCACATATTTTCACTTCACTTCACTGAATATGCAGGCTTGGCCAGGAGGCTGGGCAGAGGAGTGAAAAACCAAAAAGCACGGTTGCCTGACTTCTCAGAAGAATGTGAGCGAGAGCTGAGATAGTTACAAGTGATAAATCGTGAAGAACAGAAGTCAGTGGCGTGAAATCTATCTCCAGAATTTCTTCTTGGGTGTGTGGAATGGAGGAAGGGCAGATGGATGTAAAGTAAGGATAACAATATTAAGACAGATACAAAATAAAGAATACGGACACTTCAGTGCTTTCACTTTATAAACAAATAATGGCAGTAGTAAATACACGGTGCAGTATTTGGGCTCACCTCTTTAAAAAATCTTCACTTCTAGTAAAGAATCTCTGAAGTGTCTTTACCACGGGAAAGTGGTACCCTATCAATGCAATTTGATTCTGGCTTGATCATTTACATGTTGCTGGCAAACTCAGACTGAGTTTTCTAGTTGACTCCTTTAAATGTCTCTATACATGTTGTTTCAATGTAAAACTTTCACACTATCAATGATCTCCACAATATTCCTGGATTATTTAAAATTTTGACTGACTGACTGACTTTTTCGTTCCCAAGTACAAATGGGAATAAACAAAAGGAGGAATTGAGACACTGAGAAAGTGACTTAAGTTCACAGAGTAGGTCCAAGAGCTGAGCCCAGACCCCTTGATCCCCTCTCCAGGCACACTGGATACCAGTCATGGATGACAATTCCTGGATGAATACTAGATTTTCATCCCTTGACCCTTATGTGATTTGTCTTTCTCTGAAAGTCATGTGGCACTTTGTTGCTAGGAGATGCTTATTTAACCTAAGCAAAAGTTTCAGAAGTGTCAGTCCTTTTTGCATGGTTTGATGAGGTCTATTTGAGTTAGAAATCCCCATGAAGTATGCTGGAAATGGCATGTCAGTGAAGAGATGCCAAAGACTGAAAGGAAAGCAAAGACTGAACATCTCTCCGCAAAGAGGTTGCTTCCAGCGCTGATATGAGCTATATTGACAGTACTCAGGTTATATTGATGTATGGTCAACACTGTGGATTTATTATCCATACTAAGCCTTTTCAGTGGGCAGAAAGCACTTCAGCTCTTAGACTCCCAACCTGTCTCTTTTTTATAAAACACTAAAATTCTACTAAGTAAGAAACATTTTAAACAAGTTTTATACCAACATTTCAGTATTTAGCATGAACATGAATTTATTTCGAAGAATCTTCTGTCTTCCTAAAACAATTAAGAATTCATTTTTTTCTGAGACTGAGGCAGTTTATACTCATGCTAACTGTAAATACGCTGAAGCCTTTTTCTTGCTATATTGAAACTAACAAAGAAAGGAAAACCCCTGATATTTATATACTTTTTTTCAGAAACTTACCATCTCTGTATAAAGAATTAGGCACAACTAATTAGCTAGGCATCACAACTATGAAGATTTCTGTTAACTGAACTTCAAAGCTTTTATGCTATTTGCAGTAGAGTGCACGTACTATGGTCGTCACTGTGCTCATCTGTTGCTTTTCAGAGTTTTAGAAGTAACATGAGATATGCATTGATTTCCTTAATAGAAGCCAGAAGTGTTGGGATCCTGATGGTAGAACTAGGTTTTCAAAATCTAACAGAAGCACATACAAAATCGAGCATCCTCACACAGATAGGGTTGAATTTCATTTAGATAAGAGATCCATTTACGAAAACTGGATTTAAAGGTGAATTCAAGCCAGACCCACAGGAAAGACCTTTTAGTTTATCAAGGCTGTTCCTTTGCTAATGGGGACTTACTCTTCATAGGAGATTTAACAAGTTAATATTTTAAGAAGAACCTCTATTCCGTGTTTTAATGGAAACTTCTGTGTCATTTGTAATCCTTTGTCATCCTGTGCTTCTCTCGTGAGTGTGCTTCCCTAGATTATTCCTGCATGTGCAAGGACTTTAATTCCCACACCAGAGGTAAGGAGATCCTTGTGTTCGCGTCCTCTCCCAAGTGCGCACCCGTACCGAACCCGCTGCACGGGAGGGGAGACTAGACTCCAGGATCGAGCTGGCACAAACAGGAAGGATAAGGGCTAACTGAGAACCATAAGGGAGAGACCTAAACTAGCTTAGAACTCGATACCATTTCAGTCACTCGGTCAGAGGACTGAGAAGCTCTGGCACCATGCTTCCCAGGAGGTCAGTTCCTCCTCAGCCAGAGGTAAAAACAGAGATTTGATCCTTTGCAAATAATTTTCTCCCCTTAAACACATGATTTCATGCTTATAAATTGAGGTTTTAGTCTCGTTTCCAAGTTGAAAACCTCTTTTTCTTTGCCCGTTTGATCAATTTCCTTAGATTCTGCTGTATTATGAATTTTCCTCAGGGGTATTTGCAACATTTTCCAATGCAGTGTTGGTTGTGAGTTTAATTTGTTGCTTATTTTCCTTTCTGCTATTTGATTTGAATTTTAATATATTTAGCATTAATAATAGTCTCTACCTTAAGTAGTTTACAGCAACAAATACAGATGTGTAGAAAACATGACCGAGAAAGTCTTATTTACAATTGTAAACTCACCTCTTGAAGCTATTGTGAAAGCACTCTCTTGCAGAATGAGACTTGAGTGAAAGGCAGTTAATAGCTTGGCTTTAACACCTCTTTTTCTCCCTATTGTTCTAGGGAGAACAGCACCTTCAGAAAAATACTATTGACAATGACAATAGGTACTCAAAGTTCTCTCAAAATTGCTAGAACGTTAATAATATTTAAGGAGGCTTTTTTCCCTTATATTTACCTTATATCCTTTATTTTTTCTGCACTTAACTCGGTGCTCTGATGAATGAATAGGTGTACACAGAGCACTGATCCTTATCTGATTAGCCTCCAGGATCTGATTTTGTCTCACTTAGAGACAGAATTTGGCTGCAGTTCAACACTTGCTGCTGTCATGCATGTTGCTGGGTATAATAAGAGCTACTTTGTCACTGTAATGGATTACTGGAATGGGGACCAGCTCACCCCTGTTG